AGAAAGAACGAGAGAGAGTGAGAAAGCAGACAGAGAGAGAGAGAGAGAGAGAGAGAGACAGATCAAGAAGGTGTGTCCGGACAGCGCCTGAAGGAGTCAAAGCCCCGGGACGAGCACCAGGTCGCCGATGGATGAGAAATTTGAAAGAGACAGAGAGAGAGAGAGAGAGAGAGAGAGAGAGAGAGAGAGAGAGAGAGAGAGAGAGAGAAGAGAGAGAGAGAGGAGAGAGAGAGAGAGAGAGAGAGAGAGAGAGAGAGAGAGAGAGAGAGAGAGAGAGAGAGAAAGATGTTGAGAGAGAGATAGAGAGAGAACACGATCAGGCAAGGGCAGCGGATGCCCCCACGATTGTCTTCCTGGCCTGTTGAAGAGAGAGAGAGAGAGAGAGAGAGAGAGAGAGAGAGAGAGACAGAAAGTGAGAGAGAGAGAGAGGAAGACAAAGAGAAAAGAAAGGTGGAGCCGGTGACCTTCGAGGACGTTCCCGCCTGGGGTCAGGGTCGAGGTGTTGGGGATGAGAGGGAGTTAGGGTGCAGGGATTCAGGTTCATGGTTCTTTGAGGTCTGAAAGGTAGGGTTCGGGTGAGAGGGAAGTCATCGGTCCTCGTCGCATGATTGGTAATCGCCATAGTGTAAGCATCATGGTATGCGTCGTCATCAATGACATTGATGACGACACTGTAGGGATGTCATTTAACAGCCTGCCACGGTTACCCTAAACCCTGAACCCTAAACCCCGAAACCCGAGACCCTAAACAAACTTTAATCCCCGACATCCGAAAACCCTAAACCCCTCAGCCTCCATTCAACGGCCTACATCCCGCAACCTCAGTTCTGGGCTGAGCGACTGCTAAACCCTAAACCCTAAGCCCTAAACCTTAAAACCCTAAACCCTAAACCCTAAACCCTAAACCCTAAACCCTAAACCCTAAACCCTAAACCCCCAAAACCTTGAGGTTCGGCTTCAACGAGCGCTTTGGCTTTCCTTACGACGGCTTCAATCGGCGCTATGAGTCGGAGGTTGCGATAACCCTGAACCCTAAACCCTAAACCCCAAACCCAAAACCCTAAACCCTAATATGATGTCTTGTTAAATCGTTTCATGTAGCTTCTGAGAGATCACGTGCTCTAACAGCACGAGTTCCCTGTAGACCCGAGATTGTGAGTCTTGGCCAGAGGCTGCCTACCTGGAGCGACTGGCGCGCGTGTCTGAGAAGGTGAAGGCTTTTGCCACTAGGCAGGCCCTTGGGACATGCTAATCTTTTTCTCCCTTATTGGCTTTAAGAAAATTCTTTTCGGGTTTAGGGTTTAGGGTTTAGGTTTTAGGGTTTAGGGTTTAGGGTTCAGGGGTTTAGGGTTTAGGGTTTAGGGTTTAGGAGATTATACTCAGGAATATGTTTAACAGCGCTTCAAGCTTTCTAGGCCATCCAAGGCCAAGACCTATCAGCCTGATGTCATCTTGATTCAGGAGCGGGGTTCCCCAACTTTCCCGAAATGAGGCGTTTAGGGTTTAGGGTTTAGGGTTTAGAGTTTAGGGTTTAGGGTTTAGGGGCTTGTTCCTTGGTCAGTATGGGCTTCGTTCTTGGTGTGGCTGTGGCCCACGATTCTAAGTGATGGTTCATTTTTGGTGTCGGGGGCGCCCGCTTTCGCCTGTCTCGTTCAGAGTTGCCTTGACCTCTTGCCCTAAACCCTAGACCCTAAACGCTAAACCCTAAACCCTAAGCGCTAAACCCTAAACCCTAAACTTGGAGACTGCAGAACCCCTGTACCCATGGAAAACTCTACATAGGAAACGTATGGGTTTGGCGAGTAGCAACGCTGTTGCACCGGGTTTAGGGTTTAGGGTTTAGGGTTTAGGGTTTAGGGTTTAGGGTTTAGGTTTGGGTTTAGGGTTTAGGGTTTAGGGTTTGGGACTGAAAGAGGAGAACGCAAATGCCACGAAGAACGAGTTCGGATACGAGGCCTTGCCAAAGATGCTGGCACCACTGCAGGAGCAGCACTACATGATCTTTCAGGACACAGCCCCTAAACCCTAAACCCTAAACCCTAAACCCTAAACCCTAAACCCTAAACCCTAAACCCTAAACCCCAAACCCCAAACCCTAAACCCCAAACCCTAACCCCAAGACAAATCCAGGAGGCAGAGTTTATCACGGCTGTGCGCGATGGCAGCCGAAGCTCCTTCACCTTGGACCTCGAGTTGCAGCGAATGCAGGGTGCCTTAGACCCCAAACTGGCGCTTTAGGAGTTAGGGTTTAGGGTTTAGGGTCTAGGGTATAGGGTCTAGGGTCTAGGGTGGAGGGTTAGAGTTTATAAGTGTTTATAAGGCTTATGGGGGCTTCTGAGGGTTTATAGAGGCAAGGGCTTATAGAGCTTATGAGGGTTTATACAGACGTAGGAGGGTTTATTTGGGCTTCCGACAATAAACCCGAAACCCTCAACCCTAAATCCCTCAGCTGCTTACCGACACCAAGCGTCCACTTTCCCTTTTTTTGTGGAGGCTGGGGGTTGAGAGTTCAGCGATTGAGGGTGTGAATGACTACCCTTGCCAATCCCGGAAAGTCGAGCGCAGCCAACACAAGACTACCTCTGGCTCCCACTTAATGGCAGCTTTATGCACCCCCTCCCTGCACGCGGAGAGTGACTCGCAGAAGTGCAGCCACATAACATGCGCATGTTTGGGCTTTAGGGTTTAGGGTTTAGGGTTGCCTTCTGCCGATGACCGCTTACCTGGCCCCACCCTCGGGCCAAAGACCGGCAGCTGAAGTTTCTTCTGCAACGCCCTACGACCCCCTAAACCCGAAACCCTAAACCTTAAACCCTCAACCCTAAACCCTAAACCCTAAACCTTAAACATTCAACCCTCAACCCTAAACCCTAAACCTTAAACCCTCAACCCTCAACCCTAAACCCTAGACCCTAAAGCCTAGCCTTGGACCCTTCGCGGCCAAGCCTGCGTCTCCCGGCATCAGAAAGCTTACCAATGCATGAGCGGGCCGGCTACGCAAGCCCAAGCCCTTACGCGGCGTTAGCCAACATTGGGGCCCCTCCCCGATCCTGGGCCTGCCCAGGAAGCCCTTTTGTTTGTGTTGCCTGGCGAAGTGGCGGGGGCAAATTTGGAGATTTTTGTGAAGCTGGCACGCGCAAATTCTTGGCCCAAGTCGTCAGGCAAATTTGCCTTCCCCGACCATGCCCCCCACCCCCAACGACCTGGGTTTAAGATGTAAGGTTTATTAACACGAAAACAGTCTCTTCATGGTTTTCCCATTCTGGGTTTAGGAAGACTCTCATCCCCTTTATGGACTTGACAATACCCTTTGATCTCTGTCGACTTGCTTTTCGTGTCGACATTTTTGCAAAGCACCTCTTTAACCCTGTATTTAACCAAACGGCTTTTTGAAGCCATGGCCAATCGCCCATTGTGTTTCTATAATCACGAAATGGTACGTCTCACCAGTGCAAGATTAAATCCCGTTGTTTGCAATAGTTTTCTGTCACCAATGCGGGATCCTATGGGTGGGTGGGTGGGTGGGTAGATATTCGATACTGGACTAGCGAGCTTCACTACTGAATGTTGGACTTGAGATGGTGAATTCTAACCCCGAAACCCTAATTAAGCCTTAAACCCTAAACCCTCCAAACCCTCCAAACCCTCCAAACCCTCCAAACCCTCCAAACCCTCCAAACCCTCCAAACCCTCCAAACCCTTCAAACCCTCCAAACCCTTCAAACCCTTCAAACCCTCCAAACCCTTCAAACCTTTCAAGTAAGGCAAAGTTCACGCCGTGCGGAGTCCCGACCTGAACGCAGTGATCCTGAACGTGCATTTGACCTTCGATCAACATGGCTCCGAAAACTCAAGGCCCAAGCATAAAGCATTAGGGTTAAGGGTTTAGGAGTTTAGGGGTTTCGGGATGTCTGGGTTTCTGGGTTTAGGGTCTAGGGTTTAGGGTTTAAACACCTAGAGTTTAGGCTTTAGGGTTTAGGCTTTAGGGTTTAGGGTTTAGGGTTTGGATGGTTCAGGGCTTGCAGGCTTTGATCAGGGCCAAACCGAGCAGGCTAGCGTATGGAGGGGTTGGATTGCACACAGACTCCCGCAAAGGCCGGGGTACCTTCCCTCACCCCTGGTGGCCTCCGCCGAACCCCTTTTTCGAACGCAAAAAAGACCTTCGTCGAACCATTCCTCTTGGATCTATTTGGCTCTTGCTGTAGGACTTTTGGGGCCGTAAGGTTTGTGAAGTTTGGGCCTTAAGCCTTAAGGTTTGTGGTTCTGTTAGGGTGTCTCGGGTTGTCGGGTGTTTAGGGGTCAGGGTGTTGGGGGTTTAGACTGTCTGGTTTTGGGAGCGTGTGGCTTGTACTGCTTGGGGCTTAACAGTGTTTAGAGCTTCGGGGGCGTTTCAGGGTTGGGCCTCGTTTCGTAGGTTCAGGGTTTCGGGCTATCTGTTAGCCTTAAACCCGAAACCCTAAACCCTAAACCAGAAACCCTAAACCCTAAACCCTAAACCCTAAACCCTAAACCCTAAACCCTAAACCCTAAACCCTAAACCCTAAACCCTAAACCCTGTGAAAAGCTTCAGGGCATGGAGGTGCTGAGGATGGATTGGCGGAATGTGGGCACTTCGGGGTTCAGGCTTTCGCCTCCATGGTGTTTTAGGGGTTCTGAGGGGTTCAGAGGGTTGAGAGGGTTGAGGGGGTTTAGGGTTTAGGGTTTAGGGTTTAGGGTTTAGGGTTTAGGGTTTAGGCTTTAGGGTTTAGGGTTTAGGGTTTAGGCTTTAGGGCGTCGGGGGCTTCGAGAGGAAGACACGCCGGGACCTGGAGGCCATCTGCGAGCTTTGCAGCGCGACTCGGCTGGGGTTGTTCCAAAGGATGTTCCCGTTTGGTTTAGGGTTTAGGGTTTAGGGTTTAGGGTTTAGGGTTTAGGGTTTAGGGTTTAGGGTTTAGGGTTTAGGGTTTAGGGTTTAGGGTTTAGGGTTTAGGGTTTAGGGTTTAGGGTTTAGGGGTCTCTACTGAAGGCTTGAGAGGTTTAGGGTCTTAGGGTCTGAGGGTTTTACAGGGTTTAGTAAACTCTTGACGGTTTAGGCACCCAAGTGGAGGCCCCCGGATGTAGAGCAACCCTCTGGTGGCACCAAGGAGAAGTTTCCGGGGGCCTCCATCATTCTCGCTGGCGATACGAACCGGGTACCTCAGCAGGATCGACTGGATGGAGCTGCAGAGGCCACTGCAGTATGCTGGCACCACAGCACTGCTTAGCTACCAAGCATAGGACACAGAAGTAGCATGGGGGGGGGGGGGGGGGGGTCGGTAGAATTACTAATGGTATTCCCTTATGGTCCCTGTATATTTATACTACAATAACCCCCGAAACCCTACCCAAATTCAGGGCCCTGTACTAGGTGGGAAAGAGATGTCAGGTCATCGAGCAGCTCGTCGATGGACTCGGCATCCTGTACATGCCCCCTGGCCCGACGAACGTGCGCTATGACTGCGGCGTGGATGCAGATAGGTCTCAGCGGGGTATGTGTGGGAGGTGGGAGGCCAGGGGTTCAGATTTCAGTGACGAAGATCCTCACTGTAGGGAACCCTAAACCCTAAACCCTAAACCCGAAACCCTAAACCCTAAACCCTAAACCCTAAAGCAGAGTGACTGCCTTGTTCTGCAGCAAGGCAAAAGAGAACAAAGCGAGTTCACCTACGCGGATTTTGTCGCCGACCTCACCGTTCACACCTGAAGGCGAACGTGGGGGCATTTGGCCGTTTTAGGGGCCTGCCTTGAGCGTGCCAAAAAGTGAAGTTATCTCATGCTGTACAGAAGATACTTGCTCAGGTCTGAGGCACAAGTGCAGCCCTGCCAACCTCGCAGGATCACGGTGAGATCGAAGGGCGCGACTGAAAACTTGTGCGCGCAGAAGCCGTTTCAATCAACTCAGGGGGCCTTGCTCGCCCTGTGATGCCTGCACCTGCTGTCTTGGGTCTTTGCTAGTCGTTGCCACATCTACCCGTTCCTTCATTCATTCTGGCCAGGATCCTGGGAAGGGAATGAGTTCAGAGATCCTAAACCCGAGTTAAGCCCTCAACCCCAGACCCTGAACCTGCACGAAACCCTGAGCCAAACTGCCAAGAACCACCCTCAGCCAAACCCTAAACCCTAAACCGGAAGCCCTAAACCCTAAACCCTAAGCCCTAAGCCCTAAGCCCTAAGCCCTAAACCCTAAACCCTAAACCCTAAACCCTAAACCCTAAACCCTAAACCCTAAACCCTAAACCCTAAACCCTAAACCCTAAACCCTAAACCCGAAGCTGCTGCCTGCTCCCATGTGGGGCGTGCCATGGCAGCCGTGTCAACGCCGCCGCGCGCCCCCACTGCGCACTCGAGCTCTCGCGAGATGCGCTATGGCAGCCACTGTTTCGTCTAGGGTTTAGGGCTTAGGGTTTAGGGTTTAGGGTTTAGGGTTTAGGGTTTAGGGTTTAGGGTTTAGGGTTTAGGGTTTAGGGTTTAGGGTTTAGGGTTTAGGGTTTGGGTTTTAGGGTTTAGGGTTTAGGCTTTAGGGTCTACGGTCTAGGGTCCAGGGTCTAGGGTCTAGGGTTTAGGGTTTAGGGTTTAGGGTCTACGGTTTAGGGTTTAGGGTTTGGGGCTTCTTTGGAAGGTTCCTGCTCTTAAGAGCAAGGCTGACGCTGGCCACCCCGAGTCCCTCGATGGCCCACAGAGCCGGGCTGCCCATGGCAAGCGCCTCGAAGGTGACGGCGCCGCTCGCCCCGTTCCAAGCGGTGGTGTCGCAGCCACAGGTGCCTCCTGGACCCGTTTTCCCAGCGGTTCTTAGTAGGGGAATTGAGGACATGAGGTGTGTCCTGTAGAATCCCCAGAAGAGGGCTGCTGTAGGGGGGACATAAGGTGCGTAATTCCCCACGAAGAGCCACTAGGTTTTCTTCGGATAGTGGCTCTGCAATCGCAACGTGTTATGTGTTTTTTTTCTGAGGGAGTTAAGACAGTGGCAGCTCTTTTCAAGGTCTTCCAAGAGCAGCCGAGGTGCTGACAACCCAGTGCACTCAAGCACCGACGTTTTGCCCCGCGCAGGCGTTCCCACCAAGTTCTCACCTGCAGGCATGCACTGTCTCCGCCCCAGCGCCATTGCCATCTTCTCAACCGAACCTTGCACCTGTGATGGCATGCCGGCATATGTCTTCAACACCGATATCGGCCGAGCCTAGGTAGGCCCATGGGATACTTTTATCTTCTCCCTTAATGTTGGGTTCAAGGGGATCCTATTTAGGAATCTCTTTCAGAGGATTCTAACTGACTGTTGGTTAGTATGAGGTACCCCTACTATATATACCCTTTAAGGGATAATATAGGGTGCCTCATTCCCCCATTCCCTACTAAGTAAAGTGCCGTCCTAGGAACTCTGGGGGGCCTCTGGCGCGCTTCCCAGCCAGATCACGCGGCAAGTGTCCAAGCCAACCCCTCCGACGACAACAGTGCCAACAGTGCTGCCGTCCCAGTCTGCAAAGGCTCCGGCTGGAGTGGCACAGGAGCTCGTGCCGCAACCTCAAGCGCGTTATATGTGGGATCGTAATAATTTGAATAGGGTACTTCTAGTATACTTCTACAGGGACCATGAGGGAATACTATTGGCAACGAATTACTCCGACGCCGATATTTTTGCCAGTCCTCTCAATGATGGTCCCTCTTCTGCGTACTTTGAAGGTAGAGACCCCCAATCCAGGCGGTAAGACGACTTGGGACCAACAGTTAGAGCGCCTCCCGCATGTTCAGCTCCTGCCTTGAGCCAATGTTGGTCTGAGGCCGTGCCAACCAGCCTATGCGGGTTCATTCAAGCTCGCACCGCGTGCAGGTTGGGTTATGACCTGCTTACTTTCAAGGGCCAGATGGATATACTGTTGGGTGGAATGTGGTTTTCGGTACAGGTTATGGGGAAAAGGGTACGTTTATACATGTATATGTATGGACACACATACTTTACATACATATATATATATATATATACATATGAAACCACATATCCTACCATGAATGTTATTAGCTTTATTGTTGTTATTATTGTTGATATTTGTAATGTCGCGATTATTAGGATGATTATTATTTGTATTGTATTCTGACTAATCTTACAAAAATACTTCTTCTTACTCGTATTCGTACTCTTGTTCATATTAGTACTGTATGTCTTCTTATTATTCTTCTTATTGCATATACATATATATATATATGTATGTATACATCGGGGATTGCGGACCTCCCAACCCCCAAACAAGTCCAGCCTCTGCGTATGTGCGACTGACAGTTGGTTCGCCGATGTCGCCCGTGCCCGAGCAGGACCTGCGCCTTGCAACCCAAGGCCCTAAGCCATACGCCTTGGGGTTTAGGGTTTAGGGTTTAGGGTTTAGGGTTTAGGGTTTAGGGTTTAGGGTTTAGGGTTTAGGGTTTGGAGCTTATTACAGGGTTTAGGGTCTCTAGGGTTTAAGTGTTGGGCGTCTCTTAGTTGGAGCTGCAGTGCATGGGTTTCATTCGTTGAGTCTTTTAGGGTTAGGGTAGGGTTCAGGGTTCAGGGTTCAGGGTTCAGGGTTCAGGGTTCAGGGTTCAGGGTTCAGGGTTCAGGGTTCAGGGTTCAGGGTTCAGGCTTTAGGCTGGAGGCTTTAGGGTTTAGGGTTAGAATAGGAGCACCAAGAAAGTGGTTCAGAGAACTGACACCGTGCTAGATGCGCATCTGTAGCCATGTGGATTAGCATCCTGATCCATAGGTTGAGGGGTTGAGGGGTTTAGGGTTTAGGGTTCAGGGTTTAGGGTTTAGGGTTATTAGGGTTCTCAGGGTCATCAGGGTTATCAGGGTTATCAGGGTTATCAGGGTTATCAGGATTATCAGGGTTATCAGGGTTGAAGCGTTTAGGGCTCCAGGAGGAAGAGGTGGAAGCGGAAGGCCCGCGCCTGTTGGATGCGCCGAAGCCAGACGCGCCGGCTCCCTCCGCGCCTTGGCGCAGTTTAGTGCCGAAAGCCCGAAACTCGAGACCCTCAACCCCAAACCCCAAAACCCTAAACCCTAAACCCGAAACCCTAAACCCTAAATTTAAGAGCCTCCGGCTCAAGCCGCCGACCCTGAAGGAGAACAAGTTTAAGGTTTGGGGTTTAGGGGGGGGGGGGGGGAAGGAGGGGGGGGAAGGGGGGGGAAGGAGGGGGGGGAAGGGGGGGGAAGGGGTTTTTTCCAAAAGAGCCCCTATGCCCTGCGCGAAACCGCCTATGGTCCATGAGTCTACGCGGTGTGGGTAGCCTGTTCCTCCACGGAAAAGCTGCCGGGGGGGTACCCCCCTACCCCCCCCCCTCCCCCCGCGTTTTGGGGGGGTAAGGAGGGAAAGAGGGAGGGTTTCACCTCCAGAAACCCATCCAACACGCCGCCAGGGTCGGCGGACCCTAAACCCCCAACCCGAAACCCTAAGCTCTAAACCCTAAACGTAGCATTTTTTGGCTCAAGACAGCGCCGAGATTTCTGAAGAACAAATATCCGACGTTTCTGCACCGGGCACAGTTGTGTGAACAATGGCTACCGCTGCAGAGGTCGAGGCTGCAGTGCTTTCGCATCTTGAAGGGAAACCTCTCAACATGGGTTTGATTTGATCTAATACTCGCTCAGCCAGTACCGGGTGCTCAAGCATGGTTTCTTCTCACAGGTCAGTGGTCCTGCGTCGCAGAATGAAGTCGATGACATGCCGGGATTCTCCACTCTCAGCGACTCAAGTGGGTGTGGAGGATATATTCATTATGCACAAGAAAAGGGCATGCTCGTTTGCGGCGCCGAAGCAGAGCCTGGTGTGCACGACGGATATATCGTCCTGACTGACCCGTGTGAAGTCCACAAGGACAGCCCGAGTTCTGCTGCAAAACCAAGCGTGCACTCATAACTACCCTTGGTTTGAGCGTGACGAGCTTTGGAAGGATAATTGGGTGTACCATTTGAAGGCCTTGAGGACTATTGCACCTCAGGATGAGTCAGTGTCCAGTCGGTCACATTCTGCTGCAGCTGCTGCTGCCAAAGCGAAGTTGCAGCTACTGAAGCTTTTGGAGTTAGGGAAGAGTGAGAGAGCCATGTCATCGACCTTGCTTCCCCACCCCGCAGTGTGGGGTCTTCGGAAAGCGGTCAACCCAGCCCTCATGGGGGTCTTGATTGCGTGTTTCCAACATGTCCTGGAAGTGTGCATAAACTGGGTTTTCTCCTTGCGCCAGCCTGTCTCCCGCCTTTCTCCCGGCCGCAACCTTCTCCCTGCGCCAGCCAGCGGCCTACATCCGCTCTGGCAGAGCGTGGCAAGTACCGGAGGTGCGATGGAATGTTAGTTCTACCACGCAGCCGTCCATAGGCTCTGGGTGGAGTCTGAAGTACCAAACTCTCTTCCCGATCCCCGGCCCTTGCCGATCCTGGTCTGCCCTGAGTGCAACTTTCAGGCCAGAGGCAAGGCTGGTTTGGCGGCGAACCTGGCGCACAGCGCACCTGTCCCACAAGCGCCGTCTTCGCTCTAGATCTGCTGCCCGACAGCTTGTTGAGAGTACCCAATGCGGTTGCTTCTGTCAAGATTTCAGAACACGCGCCAGGGTACTCCAGCACCTTCGCACGCGCAAGTCCACCTTCGCAACGCTGGTTCCTACTTGTTTTCGCTTGCATCGTGGCAGGGTACATCAGCTGCGCGCGCTTCGATGTGCGATGAGAAACTTGGTGTTGCCTTGCCTTGC